TTGCTGTTATGTTAAACTTATATTAAAGTTTTTACTTTCTATTACCCATTCAAGCCGTCTCCAGCCATTATTAGTCTCAAAGTGGGTTCCTCGTCACCTGATGATGACAAAACCTTGTCGAAACGTTGTACATTTGCTGTTATGTTAAACTTATATTAAAGTTTTTACTTTCTTCATTACCCATTCAAGCCGTCTCCAGCCATTATTAGTCTCAAAGTGGGTTCCTCGTCACCTGATGATGACAAAACCTTGTCGAAACGTTGTACATTTGCTGTTATGTTAAACTTATATTAAAGTTTTTCTTCATTACCCATTCAAGCCCTCTCCAGCCATTATTAGTCTCAAAGTGGGTTCCTCGTCACCGAATTTGAATTCATCACAGTGCTATTGACTAGTTCTTTCCAGCCAGTCTGTCACATCAAAATCAATGACACCTAGCGCAGATAGCCCTTGTGCAGCTTTGCACGAACTTCTGAAACAAACAAACAAATGTTTGCTTTCATAAAGGCGCTACATAACCACAAGCATTCATCTTAACACTGCGGCGCCTGTGGCAGTTATTGTTTGGTGTCATGTGAAAGACTATTGCCTTCTACATTATTATTGGCCTAGACATGCATTCAGTTAAACTAAGACTTACCTATTACCGTCAGGCAGCAAGTCCTCTGTGTATTCCACTAGCCTTTCCCCGGAGTTGATTATATTCTACTAAATATGTAATATTAAACTAGACTGAACTGTGAGAAGCTATTGAAAAAATGGGGTTATCTCACTACACCTACTCTAACTTTCTATTCGTCACTGAAAAATCCTGTTTTGATTTACGAACTCAGAAAAAAAACACGTCTTCAGTGCTCATGCGCAAAATCATTAGATTGTCGAAAGATATTATAGGTTCCTCTCTTATATCTATTTCTCACTTATATATATATATATATAACACACAAGAAAGGGAAAGTTAATGCATGCATCGTAACAAAAAGATTTCGGTTGGTTAAGGCTGTTCTAGCTGGATTACTTTATAGATTTGTTTGTTTGTTTGTTGTTAAGTGCAAAGTTACACAATGGGCTGCCTATTCTGTGTACTCAGCGGAGAATCGAGCCACGGATTTTAGCGGTATAAGCTGTCAACTTTACCATTGAGGTACTACTGCAACGGACTCTATGCACTAAAAACTGTATATTACATGGACAAGATTGACATCATTTCCGCTGCTGTGTCTGTAGGAAGATAGAATTGTTAGTTTTAGTCCAGACTGTTAAAAACAATAAAGCAACCAGCATCTATACTACAGCAAAACTAAAGATTCCTTACTTTTTTACTTTGTGACAAAAAATTTAAAATAATATACAGTATACTTGAGTAGTAAAAAGAATGATGTTGCTTGTATGTATAATGTTAGTTCTTGACATATAAGAAACTAGTGGCGGCATTATACTCTCAATAACCCCTATTCCCTATTCGTACCAGTAATACGACGCTACGATACCATGACTTTTAAACAGGGCATCAACTACTTTACGTGTTGATAATCGAAAGTATTACATTTTACAACAGGAATCGCAAGAATACAGACTTACAGAGACAGTTAGAACGTTATACAATCATAGCTGACGTTAGATGTATTAATAAAAACCAGTGAAAAAGAAGGAAAATCATGTGAAAAACAAAACATGGATAATTATATTCTCAAAAGACGATAGTTACTTAGCAAATATAAATCTATGCTTTGGGATTGGAAAAAAAATAATTAAAAAGGCTATACGTGCATTGTTTACAGGCAAGATTACTCGGATAACTTGGCTTATAGTACTATGAGAGTTAACTTTACTTAGCTGCCATCTTGATTCAAACACGCAAAGTAACTCAGTCGCGACCACAGGCGCCATGGACTCCTCACTAACTCATGGCACCATAGACTTTGCATGGATTGCGTGTGCCTAAAACTATCATTGAGTGAAACTGATGTAGATATATACACGTTAATTTTATTTTCATAAGTAAAACAATATCGATGTATGAAATTAACGAACTTCAGATTAATGTTTATTTGTAAACTGCCGGTGTTATAATTCTCATTTTAGCTACAACATATCCAGGGGGTTGTTGATTTAAAAACGTCAAAAGTCATGATGCATTTTGATAAACTATACTAAATGTACCTCCGCAGAGTCCTCAAAAGTGTTCTGTTTCAAGAGTAAATAAAACCAAAAGTAAGGGTAACAAATATTTTTATTTCTTGCTTTTGAAGTTCATATGTCATGCTGTGTTGTAGCCTACAGAGTGCATCATTCTTCTCGCGATCCATGGCATGCGCACGTTTCACTGACGTCACCACAGTACAAATTGCAACGTTAAGCGTCCCTTGTGTGACGTCATTTTAGTATCTACTAACTGACTGACAGACAACACATACTGTATAGTGGTGCGTGAAGTTAAAACAGGTGATCCCTCCAGGTGGCTTTCGGCCCCTTTTCGGGGAAATTATTTTCATCGTTTGTGCTTATGTACGAAACCTGCTATTCTTAGTTACACAATATAGGATGTAGAGCTTAAGATTTGTTAATGATTTCAAACAGTGATCAAATTTTTGAAGATCTAGTTTAAATTACGTGGAAAACTGTACATATTTTCATTGTCTATTTTTGTGTTTTGTATCACCCACAGGCATTTTGGGAAACTGTGCATATTTTCAATGTTTATTTTTATCTTTTGAAGTCATCAGTCATAGATTTGTAAACGTTTATACAGAAATAGACTTGTATCTCTTCCATATTTTCTTTACTGTATATAGTAAGCATGTTCAGTAACAATGGTCAGCTCGATTATAATAATCAATAAACGTTTTGCTTTTGCTGTATTACATGTTCCTTTTCATTCGTTTTTTTTTGTTTGAAGTTAAGCACAAAGCAACATAAGTGCTCTGCCCACCACGGGTATCTAAACCCGGATTCTAGCGTTGCAAGTTCGCAGACATACCGCTGTGTCACCGAGGGAGGGCCTCACCTGTTCCAATCCATACTTTCCTTATATCGTCACGTTGTAAACATTTATATCTAAGTTTAATACATCTTAATATTAAATTTTTGTTGTAGTTTTATATTTGCTTAGCTTTTTTCTTGTCACAAGTGAAATCAAGTCGTGTATATGATCTCTAATATCCAGCCAAACAAGTTTATTGTCGAAGTACAAGGAAAAATTTGCCAGAATTGTTTTTCACGAAAAACTTTTTAGGTGGGTTTTTTAACTCGTGTAAAAGCAGGAACGGGAATCCCCCTGACTTACCCGACATATTTTCCTCCTTACTCAACTAAAATAAGAATAAATAAATTTTCAAAACAGCCTGTTTTACTTTTGCTGGAATTGTTCTTTCCCTAAATTTTGAATATCTAAGAGTACAGTTTCTGACTAAAGCGAACACGAGTGAGCAGAACCACATATTTTATGATCTTTATAGACAGTAGATTCTGTTCAAGAAATCAGCTTTTGGTTTCATCCATGAAGTCGCGACCTTATTCATAGATCTACGCTATGATCATACATAACCTTGTAATGCAGTTTAGGGCGGATCTAGAATTTCGTGCATTTGAAAGGTTCTTTCCTCTTAATCTTTGGACTTCTTTCCTGATAACAGCTTAATTTTTCAGAAAGAGAAAAAACTAAAAATTTGCTATAATTTAGCATTTAGCTTATTCTTTATCTGTGAAAGTTCTTGAGAATTGGCACGAAACCCCATTTTAGGCCTGCGTGAAATGCGTCTTCAGGATTGTCTATATTTGCAATGGTCTTTCCTCTTGCAAGGAGTAGCTCATAGGGAGTAATATTTTTTACATTTAGATGTATATAAAAGTTGCAGAACTTAGACCGACATAGCTCGAAAGTGCAAAGAGTCATTGCAACAAAACCTATGATTTAAACTTCGGAATTAAATGTAAAACTATTCACAGATATCTCTGATCTTAAATCATTCACTATATCTTTTTTATTATTATTCATTAAGATGAGATATTATTGGAGTGATGTAGCATAGGAAGAATAAAACTGATGATAGAAACAATGAATGATACTACTTAATCCCACAAATCAAGCAGTATTGATAACATAAAAGCCATATTCTGTATTGTCTTAAAACTAAGCAGAGATACACATTTTTGTTGTTGTTATACATAATGAAACGTATTTACAATAACGTCATAGGAATAATTATTTTACGTGGGATAAAAGTGTTCAAACGACTAAAAATGAAAATAAGTAGTTAGAAACTGTAGTTTACAAGGTTTCAGGCGGGGCGTATATTAGCAAAAAACCAGTACATGTAGATCCTGAGGAATGGAGTCACGTTACACCGACCAGTCATATTGAATTACAATCTATTGATAATGTAACCATTAGAATAGTACAAATAAGACCTTGGGTGTTTACTGAAGGTTTGTAATATCTCTTTATTTTTTTATTTTGCGTTTACAGTGTTATTAGTAAGACATAAATCTATATTAAAAACGAAAAAAAAAGTATTTTGAGAATTTCAACACGTTTGAGAGATTTTTAGGCTAAAAAACTGGGCTTTTAAAATAATTTGTTTCCGCTCGAGAACAAGAAGACTAATGAATTATTTTGTTACAAAGCTGGTAAACTCATTAACAAGAAGACCAATGAATTATCTGGTTACAAAACTTGTAAACTCCTTACCAAGACACCAATGAGTTACATTGTTACAAAAATGGTAAACTCATTAATAAGAAGACCAATAAATTATCTTGTTACAAAGCTGGTAAACTCATTAATAAAAAGACCAATTAATTATCTTGTTACAATGCTGATAAACTCATTAATAAGAAGACCAATCAATTATCTGGCTACAAAAATGACCAATAAGTTAAATTTTTACAAAGGTGGTGAACTTGCTAACAAGAAGACCGGTGAGTTATCTTGTTAGAAATCTGGTAGTCTCGTTAACAAGGAAACCAATGAGTAACCTTGTTACAAAGCTGGTGATCTCGTTACATGGTTGTAAAAGAATTTCCAGTGTGATGGCAGTGTAGAATTAAATGGGAAAAGAAACTTATATAAAAAGTGAATACTGGTACTTGGTACAGTGGCTTATAAAATCTCCAAACTAAAATCTACAGTTATTTTGAGCTCTTAATTTTGTGTTTATCAGAACGACTTGCGAGGAACTTTAATTCAGTTATAAAAATATAACAGCTGAACTTTAGAGTGAAATGTTTTTACCCAATCTCGCAATGTCAAATCCAATCGAAAGCTTTGTGAGCGTAAAAGAAAGCTGAATGCATGGTTTGATACAATATAATTTAAACTTTTAAAAACAGTTCAGGAAAACTTGACAAAGTTAGCTTTATTTATTCTGAATAATCAAGAGACTTACAGAAAGTTTAAACAACTACGAAGAATAATAATACTACTACTAATAATAATACCTTAATTGGCTTATTTTCCTCCCTTTTTAACGCAAATGATGCAAACTTACCAGCTTTGGAGCAGGTGACCAGAAATTAGAAAGCAGAAGAGTAACGTGTTATATAACACAGTTTGTGATGTTCTCTTTTTCCTGCCTATTGATTTCGTGGTTTATGGTAGAAAGAGCATATTACAGCATGACACTACAAGGTTTTCAATCACATTAGAATTAATAGCAATGGGAAACTGAAGTTCGAAAATTATTTATTGGATATATATATATGTATCCGTGGCCCGGCATGGCCAAGTGATTAGGGCGCTCGACTCGCAATCTGAGA